GCAGGTGGCAATGGACAAGGAAATCGTCTCAATCAACTCTCCCAACCCCACTACGTATTTGTCGATCGAGATCATTCAGTTTATGTGTCTGATTGGGAAAATCATCGTGTAATGAAATGGGAAGAAGGTGCAAAACAAGGCATTGTCGTAGCCGGTGGTCAAGGACATGGAAATAGTCTTACACAATTAAATGAACCTGAAGGAGTCGTTGTCGATCAATTGGGTACTGTCTATGTGGCTGATTCTGGGAATCATCGAATCATGCGTTGGCCAAAAGAAGCCACACAAGGAAGTGTCATTGTTGGTGGAAACGGTAAAGGAGCACAGTCGAATCAACTCTATGAGCCCGTTGGTTTATCATTCGATCGATATGCCAATCTCTATGTCGTCGATATCAACAATAATCGAGTACAAAAGTTAATATTGAATAAACTCAATGCGGTGATTAATTTTATCTTTTTGTTCTCTTTCTCTTACAAATAAATCGTGATTGAATGAAAAAAGGAATTAATAGCTATTCTATTCGCACGCGCGTGATCAGGAACAATCCTGGTGGAGCCATGGCGAGCGTAATGCTCATGCACGCGCGAGAAGATCCACATCATCCACATGCACCCGTCCGATGTCATATGTCAGTGAGTCTAGAGGCTCGATCGTGTGCCATGAACACCAAGACAGTTCCTGGCAGAGCTTTCAGGAACTACCCAGAAGTCCTTCTTATAAAGCGAACCTAATCTCAGCGGACATGACTCAGCCCTCTCACTACTAACACTCACTTCTCTCAGTCTCACCCTATTCTCGCCTCAAAAAAAAGAAATAATTAGGGTGTGGGTGTGGGTGTGTGGGTGTGTGGGTGTGGGTGTGGGTGTGGGTGTGGGTGGGATGTGGGTGTGGGTGTGGAGGTGGGTGTGAATGTGAGTGTGCATGTGGCTGCAAACAAGAGCAACACCACACCCACATCCATACCCCACACCCACAACCACACCCACACCCATACCCACACCCACACCCACACCCATGCACCCACACCCACACCCACCCACACCCACACCCACACCCACACCCTTCAAGTATATCACACAGACGATGAAAAATTCTGTACAGCTCATCCATTTGTCGGCGAATTGAAGCTACATTTGATCTAATCGAGTACGAAATATAGATCTACAATCGAAATTAGATACACTTACTGATAATGTATCGACTGTAGATTGAGACCTTCAAAAAATGCTTGCTAATTTATTGCTTGCTTTTTCTTGCTTGTAAGTGGGCTCGTATTAATCGTGCCTTGAGGAAGAACTTTCGGAACCAGAACTAGCT